GCATCGCCGCTCATCATCGATCTCGTGCTCGTAGCCGAAATGATGACGCGCATCCAGTGGAAGGCTTCTTCGTCGGATGGTGTCGCGACCAAGGACTTCAAGGGCTTCCACAGCGTGCTGAGCATCTTGAGCTACATGCTCAAGGCGCCTCTGACCCCGCCGGGGACCCCCGTCATCAACGCGTTGAGCAAGCAACGTGCCGCGCTGACTAACATCTTCCGCGCTTGTGTCGGCTTGGAGCCCGAGTCTGAGATGACGCTCGAACACAAGCTGTTCTGATGCGTTGCCGGACTGCGGATGAATATTCCATTCTTTGCCATGCCACCTGGCCCTCCTTTGAATTGTTGCTTTGCTTTTTTCCAATTTGGGGGTTCGATAACAACACGATTACCTCATCCGATCACTGAAAGTTGCGTTGATGATTTGAGATAGTACCTATATTATTACAAAAAATACAGTCAGTCTTTACCGCAATGCCGTAGGCGTCCCACATGTCAGAGTTTTGGCATTTCGTATCGTGAAGCTATTTGGGAAGCAGCCACGCAAGCTCTCATAACTTGAACCTTAGAAGTGCCGCTCTCGAAAGCGAAAAGCGAAAAGCTTAAGCTTGCTGGAAGCATGGACGTGTGCTGTCGCTGTCAAGAGTCGAGACGAGTTTGTACCTAGAGGTGGTGTCAAGCTGGGTGTTGATTGGTCGTTGAGGGAAAAGACGAGGCTGTTAACCGTACAGCATTGAAGCAGATGGGACGACGGCCAATCAGTGCGCTGAAAATGCTCTCAATGGCTTTGGCCCAGACACGCCGCTCGTTTATCTTGGGAGCATCGGATAATATCAGTCAACATGTCAACTGCGCGGGCCTCTTTTTAGTGACAGGCGAGAAAGGACGGACCCAGGCCAGGGCCCTGGTGGCTGGAGAAGAAAATATCTGGAGCTTCTGGAGATGCTGAAGAATGTTTCGAGCCGGGGTGGCTGGAATGACATTCCGATAATTCGTATCCAGCTGCCAACAGCCCTGTCCTCTGCTCGTTATGTTCTCCGCAGTCAAGCGAGGGAGAATGACGAACGTCGATAGACGAGAGGAAAAAGGGGGGAAACTCGGTGGGAATTCTGCGAGGCGTTCGGTGTCGGTAAACAGAGGCGCAATTGCATGCTGTCCAATGGTGAAGGTCTGAGGGACTAGGTGGGGCGCGGGGATATCCCCAAAGCTAAATTCCAGCCCCGAGTAAGACGTAACGGTGCAGGAGCAGGGGAACAAAGGGGACTCCGTACTTTCTGTAAAAGACATGATCTGATTGGGTCAGAGGCAGGAGCTGACCTTGTTAGCTGCCCCTGGAGGCCTGTGGAGGGACCAAATGGCGACCACTCGCGACGGCCCTAGTTGATGCTGAGTGCTCCGCTGTGCCTGATCTGCCAAATGGTTGCCGGGGTGTTGCTGGTGATGAAATTGCCCAGCTTTAATCAAGCATAAAGTAGCAATAGAACCGTAAGTAGGCGGGTGAGACGGCTGCTTTGGGTGGGAAGAAACCACACTGAGAAGCGCAGAGAGAGAGAGAGAGAGAGGAAGAAAAAGTACGAGGTGGGAGGCCGGCGGGCGGGAAGATGCAAGGGAACCGGGGAACGGACAGCGGGCAACCTTACTCATCCCTCCGGAAGGTACCTTACCTTCGTCTGTCTTTCTCTGCAGAAGGTGGGAAAGACCTACCTCATGAAAGGGACACACCTAATTACCTATTGAGTGAAGAAGAAAAAGATACATCTTCATTTGCCAAGACGGGCCATTTTGACGCAGGCGCGTGTGTCGTCTGCCAAGTACCTTATTTTGCCTTTCAGACAGCCTGCCTTCGCCCAAACCAGCACTTAATCTGCGTTTCCTGATTTCTCCCTCTATTACCCCTTGGGCGACAACGTTATTATTTCTCGTAACCTTTCCTTTTCCTTTCTCTCTTCCCTCCTTCCAGTTGAAACATCACGTCAAACCTCGTTCACGACTGTTTTCGCATCATCGACAGGCGCCACGGCCGCCACGACCACAGATAGACTTGCGACAATGTTGTTTTCTACACTTGGGCGCGCTGCCCTTGCTGCTGGTTAGTGTCCTAGCTGCTTATTTGCGCGTTTCCCCATTGGCGACCAGGTCCAGCAACGAGGGTTGGCGTCATCCTTCAGCTTCAATTCAATAGAGATTCCTTCTTTTAGAGGCACAGACGTACATATTGATTAGACACACTGGACAATCCATCGCCATCCTCGTCAATCTAGCAGGAACCCCACACTGACATGGACTTTTCTCGTAGCCGCGTTTGCGACATGCTCGTTTGCACAAAGCTCAAAAGACGATGATCTCGGCCAATCCACCTTTGTCGCCCCGGAAAACAATGTCGCCTTTGGCTTCACCGTCCCCGAAAACAGCGGCGAGGACATCTTCTTCACGATGCGGGCCCCCATCGACCGCACATGGGCCGCCATTGGCATCGGCCAGGATCGAATGGCCGGTAGCTTGATCTTCATGATCTATCGCGACGAGACGGGCAACAATGTCACCTTCTCACCTCGCATAGCTTACGGAAACTACGAGCCGACGTACTACAACAATATGCAGTGGGACGTTCTTGCCGGGACGGGTGTGTTCAACAATTCCATGTACTTCAGTGCGCGATGCACTGCCCACTGCAGGAGCTGGGTGGGAGGATGGATCGATGTCTCGAACGAGAACCAAAAGGCCATCTATGCTGTTGGGCCCAAAGGAAGCTTCTTCTCGAATAAGCAGGACACGTCTGTCAAGTTCCACGAGGAGTTTGGCCGCTTCACACTCAACATGAAGCGCACAGTTGGCCCCGGCGACGCGCCCGTGCTCAAGGACAGCTCCGTCAATGAGGGCACAACGCAAGTCTCTGCCAACGATGGCCGGAGAGACTACAAGTCCATCTTCCATGCGGTTCTGATGGTGGGCTCCTTGGTTTTCCTCATTCCTTTCGGTGCCATCCTCCTTCGCTTTGGAAACATGGTCAGGTGGCACGCCCTCAACCAAGGTGTTGCTTTGGTTATCGTTCTCATTGGTTTCGTGCTCGGTGTTCTAACCAGCTTCTGGTACTCACGTGTAAGTCTCCGTAAGCTTGGATTGAAGAGGTGTCGATGCTAATGTAGACAACAGTCTCGTGGTTTCAAGTCAGCACATCAGATCATCGGCTTCATCGTGGTTGGCTTCCTCTTGGGTCAATTCGCCATTGGCTTTCTGCATCACCAAAAGTACAAGAAGACGCAGCGCGATACACCATACAAGGTTGTTCACCAGTGGCTTGGTCGCATTACGATTGCTCTTGGCACTTTCAACGCATTCTTGTAGGTCAAATGTCCTTCAATAATCCTTACAATATGCTAATATGTGCAGGGGCTTCTCATTCGCCTTGAACCGCCGATTCAATTACTTCCTCGCTGCATTCATCATCCTCATGCTTCTGGTCTCGCTGTTCTTCACCTTCGGAGGCAAGTGGGTCCGCGGCCGGCTGCCCGCTAAGTTCGGCAACCAAGGAACGGGCGGGTACAACCCGGAGCCTTGGAGACAAGCACCTCCGCAAGGCGGATACGCATACACCGGTGCCGCTCCTCCTGCCTACCAGCCGCCTTCTCATCAGAACCAAAGCGTCGGTCTGACAAGCATGGTGGCGGATCCCACGCAACCGACAAAAGAGAGGAGTGGTAGCCGCGACTACCGGAACAACGACTTGGGTTCTGCGCACCAACCGCGCGAGATGGTGTAAACCACTGGCTCGGTGTCACTCCGACTTTGACATGAAACTCGTCTGCATTTTTGGCGTTGTGTGGGACAGGGAAACGAAAGTGAATGGAAAATGAATGCTGGGTAGTCCTTGCGGATGGCCCTCTGCTTCGATGCTATGATTTAGCTGTATATTTAATGTATTTCCCACATCTAGTTTCATACCAAAAGATGCATGATTCGATGAACGACTGCCTTCTCATCCCAAAGATATTGGAATGGCTAACAAGAGTAGTTTGAGACTAACAATGCGGTTGCTAGTCGTAGTGCTGAGCGAGACCGGACGGCGTGACGGTCTTCGGTACCGAATCGGCATATTGCGACATTCGTCGTTTGACCGGCGGTGGGTCAATCACCTGAAGATGCCAAAGTTTTTCCTCCATCGACTCTTCCTTGTTTGCTTTGCCATTGAGTGGTGAGAGATTCAGATCCCGCTTGCTTCTGAATGGAACAAACAGAATGTTATCAATCAGGCCTGGCCGGAGGGAGAAACGCCAAGAAGCTCCGCAACGGTAACTCTAACGCACGGGATCCGGCGCGCCGTTCAACATCAACGGTTTGGTTTTGGAAAAAGAAATTGCGGGTACGCCCCGGTCTCCCGGCGCCGGGATCGGCCGTTGAGAGCTCGGCCAAGTTACGACTTTTCACCGTCGTGACGTACCCGCGTGAAGCGGTCAATTAAGTACCTCAGCCGCAACCATGAATGACACGCGACCTGCCAAGAACTTTTAAAGTGTATGTATCAATTGGCGCGCCGAACCAGAGCTTCAAGCGGTAGCGGCTGATTCTTGTTACATGCTTGCCCTTGTGAGGATAAGTGGCGGCAACTTGCTTCCGTTTCGTTTTTTTTTTCTTGCGCTCGCCTGTTGCCGCACGGCTCGATCCCGTGCCGGCCTGGGCGGAGTTTCCCCGACGTCTATTTGATCTTTTGTACTTGGGCCCAGCTTTTTCCAACTTCATCTCTTGAACAACCTATTGTCTGCATTCTTGCCTCCCCTCATCTTTGGCCGGATGGTTTGTAAGGTCAGCTCTTCTTTTCGTGGGTCTCGCAAGCACCCATAAACTTGTAAAATACACGAGATTTCCGTCACTTTATCTCTGACGTGAACACGTGTGTGCTCACTCGTAACGGCCAACGAGATACACCCTCAATTATTCCCGCTCATTCTTCAACGGTGGAGTGTAATCTCAATACCAAAACCTCGGCACCGGGGCTCCTACACAATGTCATCACGGCGCACAGAGGACGAGCTGGTGCTCCAGCACCACGATGAGGATGCCGACACCGAAAGAGGGGAGTACTCGGACTCGGACGACGATGCGGATGAGGACACGCCAATGATGCTGGGCCAGACCGATGGTGCGGTTGAGGCTGCCGATGCGCCACTCTCAAATGCGCCCCCCAAACCTCCGCCGCTACCTCTCGTCAAGAAGCCTGAGAAGCCACCCCCCGTAGCCTGGCGCGATCTGCCAAAGAAGCAGCAGTTGTTCGTGATTACGATGACGAGGTTAAGTGAGCCTCTTGTCCAGACTTCTCTCCAGGTATGTATCTCTTGAAGCTCCGTCAAGTACCTTCGGCGCAAAGTTTCGGAACATGGTATATCCATAGTGCTCTCACGCGCATTTCCGTATGGGAGAGGTTTGTCTTGAGAGTAACTTCCCACCCGCTAACACCGTCTTCAGTCCTACATGTTCTACCAACTCAAATGGTTCGACCCAACGCTGCCCGACTCCGTAATCTCAAGCCAGGCCGGCATCCTCCACGCCTCTTTCACAGCAGCACAGTTCATCACAGCCATGATCTGGGGCCGCCTCGCAGACTCAAAGCGCTTCGGCCGCAAGACGGTTCTCATGATCGGCCTCCTCGGCACCTGCTTCTCCTGCATCGGCTTCGGCTTTTCCCAGTCCTTTGCGCAGGCCCTCTTCTTTCGCTGTCTAGGCGGCGCGACAAACGGCAACGTCGGCGTCCTGCGGACAATGATTAGCGAGATCGTCCGCGAAAAGAAGTTCCAAGCCCGCGCTTTCATCCTGCTGCCCATGACCTTCAACATTGGTGTCATCATCGGGCCCATTTTGGGAGGTATCCTCTCCGATCCGGCAGGGAGCTACCCTTCCTTATTTGGGGATATTGCTTTCTTCCGCAAGTACCCCTACGCGACCCCAAACCTGCTCAGTGCAATCTTCCTCTCCTGCGCTGCCCTGTCCGTCTGGCTCTGCCTCGAAGAGACCCACGAAGCCCTCCGCGAAGAAGGCCCGGACCTCGGATCCCGCGTAGGATCAAGCATCGCCTCCCTCGTCCGTCGAATCGTTGTTCGTCGACGAAGGGGTTTGAACAGCAACGCAGACGCAGCCTATACGCCCCTCCACTCCAGCTCCGCAAGCACAACCGACGTCGACGTCGAACTCTCCCCGGAATCCGCACCACCACCGAAACAAAAACCCCGCCCGCGATACCGCCACCGCCTCCCCTTCCGTCGCATCTTCACCCGCAACGTCCTCATGACCTTCTCCGCGCACTTCTTCCTCGCCTTTCACGTCGGCACCTTCAACGCCCTCTGGTTCGTCTTCCTCTCGACCCCGACCTCCGCCTCCCCCCCGCACCTGCCCTTCCGCTTCTCCGGCGGGCTCGGCATGCCACCGCAGTCCGTCGGCATGGCCATGGCCATCCTCGGCGTCATCGGCATCAGCCTCCAGCTGCTCGTGTACCCGCGCCTGTCGGCGCACCTGGGCACCGTGAAAGCCTGGCGCCTGTTTTTGTATTTCTTCCCGGTGACGTATTTTCTGGTGCCGTACCTCGCCGTCGTGCCCACCACCGACGCCGCGCCGCCGCCGGGGCCGAAGGGCGGCCCGGCGATTTGGTTCGCTATTGTCGGGGTGTTGCTCTTCCAGGTTCTGGGGCGGACGTTTGCGCTGCCGGGGCAGACGATTTTGATCAATAACTGTACGCCGCACCCGTCTGTGTTGGGGACGATTCACGGGCTCGGGCAGAGTGTTAGTAGTGCGGCGAGGACAATTGGGCCTGTGTTGTGCGGATGGCTTTATGGACGGGGGCTCGAGGGCGGAGTGGTGGGTGCTGTGTGGTGGGGTTTGGCTGGTGTTGCAGTGTTGGGGGTGATGGCGAGCTGGGCTGTTTGGGAGGGAGATGGGCATGAGATTTGGATTGATGGGGATGAGGTTGCTGCTGAGGAGGAGGAGGAAGTGCACAGGCGGTAATGATGGGTTTATGGTAGAAGGATTGGGAGTTTGAAGGTTTGAGCCTGTATGCTTTTTCTCATACTCACTTACATAGCCTCCAGAGCAGAGTATAATAATTTGTAGATTTCTCCAAGGTATCTTAAACTACCTTAGCCTTCGTTACAGTTTCAACTCAAGGAGATACATAAATGCTGGTATGCACTACTACAGGGTAACAACGTACAGAGATATTCGCAAAGGCGCAGCTCTCCTTCACAGCACACGTACGCCTACCTCATGTCAACCTACATCCTTACTTACCTACGTTCTTAGAATAAACAGAATCGTTTCAAACACTATGAAGTCAGATGCAAACTCCATGCGCCCATCAGCTTGCCTCTCAGGTCAGGTAGAAAGAGTTAAAATGGCGGCTCTCTCGTTCTGGAGATTCCTCAGCGCTTTCAAGTTTGCTTGTCAAGCTGCTTCATTCTCGAACCAAAACCCTCTTGACATTACAGACGCAAGTGGAGGAAGGAAAGACTCCGACGTAAGGACCAATGAGTCCGTGGTGCAGGCCATGCGTGATGCAGGGGCCTTGGGCTTCATACCAGTTTCCAGGTTTTTTCTTCTTTCCGTTTATTTCGGCGGACGACATTAGAGCCTGCTGCTGCAGACCAAAAACGGAGTTTCAGACTGTCTCATTGCCAACAACGTGCTTGCCGGCTCTGCTAACTTATATCAGGGTTGTCGATCTTTGACATGCCATTGGGTGTTGGAGACTCAAGCGGGTTCCCGCAGCTTGGTGTAACGATGCTGTTGGAAGTGGTTGTGTGATTTATATGCTTGAAGCGCGGCAAAATCCTTGGCTCGACTCTCGCCAGCCTGATCGTGCAAGCCACCTGCCGCGTTTAACCTATGTACCTTTTCTCTCCTTCAGAGAATAATTCAAGTATTTAATAGTCATGCTGCTTGTGCTTGGGTCGTTCTACTATTCGTTCTGTCTGCTCTTTCAAACTCTTCCCTTGCTCTCTTTTTCTCTACGTCTACTTACTGAAGCTATTGAGCGTCGGAATCAAAAACCCTTTCCACAATGCGGATCGCCTCTATCCTTCTTCTTCTTCTGAGCCTCCTCTTTCGGGACTGTACGGGGGGGTCCACCTTCTACCGACCACCGGGCTCTGGTCCCGCCGGAGACTTCCGAGACAACCCCCAGTATACGTTGGGCGAGATAGTAAACCTCCAATGGGAGACTGACGACATGTCCATTGACTTATACCTCGTTCAAAAGTTACCTGAGGACGAGGTCGCTGCCATTTTGTTCGGTTAGTCAATTTAATGTAAAAGCAGTGAGCCCAACGCAGATCCTGCTTGCTCTACGGCTTTTGAAGTCAAAACATTTTACTTACCCGATTGATTCACAGTAGACGAATACCACACGCCCTTAGGCTGGGCCTGGAACGTCTCCCTCGATACCTTTCCGTCCTGGCATAGCCCGGATCTGAGTAACGTGTACTATCTGCACTTGCAGGCCTCTCTGCCTGTTGGCGTCATTGGTGCAGGTGTTGCGTCCCACTATTTCAACATCACCCCCAGCGCCGCGTCATCAGTCTCGTCGTCGGCCTCACCATCATCTTCGACATTGTGGACATCCGTTGCATCACCGACGACAACGCCGAGCGCAACGAGCACATCAGAGCTGGACCGTGATGAGCTATCGACTGGCGCAGTGTCTGGTATTGCGGTCGGAGCGACATTCATTGGGACACTCTTTGTAGTAGGATTAGCGGGATTTCTGTTCTGGCGGCGGTGGCGGACCAATAAAAAGAGGGAAGGGGAAGAATTAGGCGCGATCATCACTGCGAACGATGAAAACGAGATACATGTCTACAAGAGAGATGTATCCGAGCCATCGAGTGAATTATTTGTTGAGAGTACTCGACGCTTCGGAGCCGAGGGTTCGAAACTAAGTGAGATGAGGTTTGAGATGTCGGGAGATTCGGTCGTACGCAAATGAAACGTGGAGTTTGATCAAGCTGATGGAATTCGTGACTATTAATAACTAAAATTGAGATTTAAACGTGAATTATGCCCTCTCTTAAATACGGGGATATCGTCGTTAACATGTAGGATAGATGTATGGACACCATCTACTCTTGGTCAACTACACGACCAGTATAGGAATCCGAAGAGGTCGTGGCAGCTTCAGTAAATTCCTTCGTACATAGAGATGAGATTAAGAAGCGAAGGTTGAAGAGTCACATGATAAGCGTAATGACCGGTAGGCGTTTTCTTGAGTTTGACAATCTGGATTATAAGGCAGACTTCTCAACACAGAAATGAAATGTCTCTGAGCTTCCCATCTCTCAATTTCCATGGTTGGGTGAACTCCAGGTTTTGCATTCGCGCTAGTAATGCGATGGCTTTGTGTGACACATTTAATTGGTGTCGTCTGCTGCAGTCCCTTTTCAGCTTCACTCCAAAACCGCCCTGGACGGCGCAACTTCATGCCGAGCCTTCTGCGGCTGAACATAGCGGTCACGCATTCGAGACATTTGATCGATCTTCTTAGTGTAACGGTTTCAGACAGCCAATAATATCAAGATACCCAGATTGCCCTCTCATATCTGTTCTTGGATGCTGAACACGACATCGTCCCCAAGTCGTGATATTGAGCAACGAAAGACAAGCATGGATTACAGCAGACAACCATACTTTCCACCTCCGCCAGGTCAAGCTGGAAATCCACCACCGCCGATTCCGCTACGCCCAGAAACAACAGTGCCAGCAATTTCTCCTCCCCATGACTATTCGCGAGGGCAATTCCAACAACCTCAGACTGTGCAAAGTCCTCAATATGGCGGTCAACATCCTCAACAAACTTACCAGCCCACATACGGCGCTCCTTCTTACCATCAGAGCCCCCCCAACAGTCATAATTATCATCAACCAAGCTCCGTAAGCCGACCTGAGCCAACTCCTCAGAACTTTTATTCGAATGGCCAGCCTCCCTACACCCAGCCGTACTCACCCTCAGCAACGTACACGCACCCTAATCAAAGACCATCATCGTCCCAGAGTCCTAGTCTATCAAGTGCTCTGCAACAGGCGACCTCATTGTTTTCGGACAGTGACAAAGTTGTCAAGTCTTACCATGGACTCAAGAGCAAAGCCAGAGCCAAGTTCACCCAATTCGTCTCGCAGGGCGTGACACCTTCACAGCCTACCTACAACCCTCAGGTCCAGTACGCTCAGAACCACAACTCGCCGTATAACCCTTCACCATCGTCTACTTCTCCCGTTCATCCTCCTGGCGCTCAATACCATCAAACCCAGCAATCTTACTACCAGCATCCAAGCCCAATAGAAAACTTGGCAACTCCACCAGCACAGTCTCCCTACTATCACCCGCCCCCTTCTCAGGAACAGGCCTATCCTATACCATCTCATAGTTCAGCTGTGCTGTCACAGCAACGAGATCAGTATAGTCAACAGACTCAAAAGGATTCATCTCCTCATCATCTGGCTCATATCCCACAAACCCCCGGGAACGATGGTTCATCTGGCATGCCGACACCCAGTGCCATCTTTTATGGGAATGACAATCCCAATTCCGCCGTTCAGCAACACACTGTACCTGCAGCTTCAACCGCAACTCACACACCGCCTGTGGTAACACTGCAGCAACTTCCTGAGCATCAGCAGCATATTCAACTTGTCCAGGAAGGGACCTCTCGCCCAATTGAAGCTACGCAAGAGCCAGGAAGACCTACAGCAGGCGCTATTCATCCTTCGACCTCGCTGATAGAAGTCAATACCGCTGACTGCCCACCTTCTCAACCCCACATTGCCGAGAAGGTCGCTCATGTTTCTCACGAGGAAGTACCGGCAGCCAGTTTAGTCGACCAAATTTCTACAATCCTCGGCAATGTCAGCATTGGCGAAGCCACTTCATCGCAGAGCAACCCTCCGACGCCTGACGATGTCGACTTCCACGACTACAAAAGAGCCCTTCCCCGTGTCACCGAAAATGGGGAACCTAACGCAGTTGTTTGGGAATGCCCAGCAGACCGAGAGGTCAAGTATGAAACAGACTGGTATCATATATCAGACATACCAAACTTCCTCGTCTGCACACACTGCCACGAGAGGTGCCTTGCACAGACACCCCTGGGAGGCTCTTTCATACGCACCAGGCAACCGGAAGGACGTTGTCGGTTCAATGCTCCCCGAATCACCAGACTCCTGCTACCCGAGTGTCTCAAGCGCAAAGATATCACTCCTCTGCGGGAGTTCATGACAGCTCGACTCGATGTCCTGGACTGCAAAGGAGTCTCGGGTGCCGATGGCTTAGCAGGAATCAAATGGTACCAACCGCTTGACGACAGACTCGATGGCTTCGTATCCTGTGAGGCTTGTTATCAAGATATCGTGCTGGCAACATCGTTCCGTGACAAATTTGTTCCGCACGACTCACCCCAAGCATCTGATGCCGTCTGGGCCTGCGACATCTGTCTCCCCTTCATAAGTCGATCCATAGTCAGACTTTCAAAATCAGGAGTCGACGGCTGGAACTCATGGGTAGAAGCAGCAGCGAAGCACATTGCTCTGCCTGAATGCGACAAGGGGCCCGTATCGCCCTCCTCCAGACGCTGGATGCGACTACGCGGCGAGCGGCATCCGGATTTCAAAATGTGTGAAAAGTGCTACGAGAAACATGTGGCTCTGACGACAGTGGATAAGGACTTTGAGTCTATTCCACATGTGCCGAGTCACACAGGGTTAGACTGGATGGACGCCGCACTAGGCTATACAACGACGGAGCCTACACCCATCACATGCAGCATGAACAGCTTGCCCGTTGAGGTCGCGCTCACAGATGCCAAGGGCTTTCAGGACATCAACGTTCTCTACCGTGCTCTGGAGGTCATCCTCTCCTGCCCACCGTGTACCGAACGGGGCATCATCAACGGCACGTGGTACACGTTGACCGGCGGCGGCTGCGACGGCTATAGGATCTGTGCCCCATGCCACGCAGCCTTCATCACCCCATTCGGACTGGACCGATTCTACGAGAAATCTCAGAGCGAGGAAGCAGGAGAGACCTACTTCTGCAGCTTCGAGCGGTCCTCGGCCCCGCGATGGGTCGAACACATGAACCGCAACGCCGAAGCCGTCGAGACCGGCGTCTGGTCCCGCTACTCCGTTTTCGTGCGCAAATTCGCCGGCGTCCCGCACTGCGCCAAGGAGAACCTCGTCGACAACCGCCGCTGGTATGGGTGGGACGACTGCACAATCTGCCCAGAGTGCTACATCACCTTCTGCCAGGAGAGCTCGCCACCTCCCCCTAGTCTGACAATGGAATTCAACAATGACCTTGTCGTCGAGAAGAGGATGTGCTGCCTGTACTCCCCGCGCATGCGGCAAAAGTGGATTGAGGCGTGCGAGGCGGGCAAAGCGGAGGCGCTGATTGAGTTCTCGAGGGTGCGGCACGGGGTTTGGGTGCAGACTGTGCTGCAGGTCCAGGCGCTTCGCCAGATGCAGGATATGCAGATGATGAATGCCATGCATGCGGGCTTCATGAGTGTCACGTACCAAGGCATTGAGGGCATCAAGGTGGTTTCTGGCACGACAGATGGGCACGAGCATGGGAATAGTCAACTTGGATGGCATGCGACGGAGGAGGGCGCGACGAGCGCAGCTTTTCGGAATCAGATGCAGATTGGAATGGCTCAGTCTAATAGTTCGAATACATGGATGACGATATGGCAGTTGCTGCTGAAATGGTCAGAGTATGAGTAGCGTGAGCAGGCCACAGCAAGACGGGTGTGCGGTTTTAGCTAGTTTCTCTATTCGACTTCATTTATGAGCATCCTTTAGTGACAGCCTAGCTATGTTATTCGCCAGCGGTATTCATCACCTCTTACATTCGCGAGACTAACATACACCCGAGAAATACAGCCACGATAAAGCAAAGTTCTTTCAACCAAATTTCAACCACAGTTTCAAGGATAGTAGACGGACCCGACGAGCTGCTAAATCCTACAGGTGTATCGGGACTCGATTGAGTCCTGTCAGATTCGCGTCTATGTATTTAATGTGAGACGACAGCTCATGGAATATTTGGATTACATTGGTATGTATATGCACACCAACAACCCATAAATACCTAGCTCAAAGTCTATGACGGAATAGTTGGCTCAAAAACGTCCTCTAAAACATCAACAACACCACTCATCCAGCTATCCCACGACGTAGGATCCTCCTCATCCTTGTAAAACTTGAGCCATCTCAGCAAAATCCGGTACGACCCCTTCTTCAATCCCAATCCTATCGTAGCCGTAGCATCAAGGATGCTGTAAGACCACCCAGCCTGGTAACTCGTCTGCGGCAGCCACCCATTCTGAATCATGTTGGACCCGAGTATATCCACGCCCGCAACCGTGCCATTCTCCTTCATCGACGTCTCCGTGAGGTTGTCGAACTTAATGCTAGGATTGAAACCGTACCATGTCGGCGTGAAATTCGTGCTCGCGCGCACAATATCGAAGCGGAACTTGCGCACCGGCTGCAGCGAAGTGAAGAGCGCGACCGGGTAGTCCGGGTACTGGAACGAGAAGACGCGGTAGTTACCAATGTCGGCTTTATCGCCGTTGGCAAAGACCTGCGGGGCCGAGAGGGGATCGCGCGTCGGCGTCAGGGCATTGGCGCGCTGCTTCGCGGTGATATTCTTCGTGCCGACGACGGGTGTGCTGCTGTAGTTGTAGGCTGGGCCCATGTACGGAATCGTGAAGGTCTCGTTGGTGGAGGAGGAGATGCCGATGAAGCCGGAGAAGAGCGGGACGAGGCTGGCGTCTGGTGATGATGGGGGCGTGATTGAGAACGTGACGTTGGCGGAGCCACTGGCTGGAACGGTGAGTTGGCTTCCGCTCGCGAAGTCGACCTTGGCTGAGAAGGACGAAGGGATGTAACCGACTTGCGCGGTGCGGCTTGAACCCTCTGAGAATGGCGCTGCACCAGCAGCAGGCACGTTGGAGAAGCTGTAGGTGATGTCGGTTCCCGACGGGTTGTCGATGGTAAAAGTAGCCTCCTCGACATCAACCAATTTGAACTCCCCTGGAGATACCACTGTTCTCGGGAACACGGCTTTGTGAGCCTGAACCAGACCCGCGCCTTGTTGAATTGCAGGCGCCATCAAATCATAGTCTGCCATGTTGACTTGCTTTGCAGTGGTTTGTATCAGCTCAAAGATCTCTTCGACAGACAAGTCGGGATTCTGTGACTTGATCAGAGCATATAAACCAGAGATGTAAGGCGTCGCCATGGACGTGCCGCTGATGATGCCGAAACCGCCGCTATTCTCCATGAGCGGGAACGTGGCTAGGATCGCTCCGCCTGGGGCGGCTATCTGGGGCTTGAACGCGAAGTCGGCGTTGGGTCCTAGGTGGCTGTCAGCCAATACATCAAGAAGAGCTGACAGCGACAATAGCGAGACATACCGAGACTGCTGAAGTTGTTTGGAGATCCGCCACCGACTTGATCCACCAGAAGAGGCGTCTGGGACTCAACAAGCAACTTGTACTGTCCGGTGCTCTTGGCCGCATTCGAGAGCGTCTCGTCGATAACGCTGCCCATGGAGTAGACATACCCATCTGCAGTGAGAGACGGTGTTGGCACAGCGTGGCCTTTAATGAAGACATCATCGATGGTAGGATCCGGGTACGTAATGACACGAGTGAAGTTTGCCGCAGAGGCATATGTCTGGACCTGCGTCGGCGAACAAGAAGGCCCTCTCTTGACGGCGACAATATAGTCGGAGATTGGCCCCTGAAGACTACTGGCTGGCGGGTAATCGGAAGCCGAGCAGCCAAACTTGTACCCTGACGTATTTCTCCCGGCCCAAGCAACAGGATACTCCCCTTCCGGGAATGGATGCAATGCTCCGTAGCGGAATTCGGCACCGTTCGAGTCACGGATCGGGTACGTTGGAAACTTTGCATTCTCCACAGACGCAACGCCGAGCCCGTCATCAGCTCCGCCCGGCAAGTTGATGGAAAACATACCTTGCGTGCCAGAGTTGCCAGCAGCAGCGACAACAGCTACACCTTTCGCTCTCAGCGCGGCCACTGCAGCAGGGAGAATCGACCTAGGATAGCCCGACCAGGTCCCAAACTCTCCAATCGAGATACTCACAACGTGAGCACCCTCCTCAACAGCCCTCTGCATAGCCGCAACAATAGCATCGTCCGAAGCGCTCCCATCGCACCCAAAGACGCGGTACATGCCCAGCGTCGCCCTGGGAGCAACGCCAACGAGACCGGGAAAAATGGAAGCGTTTGAGGAAACTTCCATACCGATAATGCCCGCCACATGAGTGCCGTGGAAGCTGTCAAAGCACCCCGGTCTCGGGTCCGGGCCCGGATTCGGGGTGGAGTTGCTGAACCCGTAGTCGTCGCCGACAAAGTCGTAGCCAAACTCGACCTTGCAGCCTTTTCCGAAGCATCCTCCCAGGGCGGGGTGCAGGTAATCGATTCCCGTGTCGATGACGGCGACGCGTACGCCCTCGCCGAGCACGCCCTTTGCGTGAACGCGGTCGACACCCGTCATGGCGTGAGGGCTATTCCAGTCGACGTCCGCCCTCCGAGAGAGCAAAGATTTGGATTGCTCTCTGCTGCTTTCAAAGTTGCGGGTGGCGTGTTTTTCGTGGCCTTTGCCGCTGGAAGGGGACCTCTTCACATTATTGCTTGGGCGATGAGGGTGCGCCACGCTCTGGACGGGAACAACATTCTGGACACCCGGAAGAGCTCGCAACTTTTCACTGTCCGAGTCGTCGTCCAGAGAGACCGATACTCCGTAAAAGACACTCTTGTCGGTGTACTCATATCGCACTCGTAGTGGAATAGACGCTTCGGCTGCCTTGCTGGCGAGATCATGCGGACTGATGCTGAGCCCTTCGGCCGCGGAATCTGTGGACAACTCGACAAAGTACGTCTTCGGCACTGCTTGGGAGGTAGCTACAGCAAGACAGCAAGCCGCTGCCGCGGCGAAGTGGGCGATGAGACGCATCGTCAACTAGACGATCGGGCGGCTTCTCTCCGGACAGACAAGTCTTGGAAAGACTCTAAAGCCGAACGTGCCCCAGACCGTATTCATTGTGCGACTATGCTGTGATTTTAAGAGTTCAAAGTCCGATTGCCATGGATGGTCGTCAATACGACACCGAGATAACCGGTTGTGGGTCGTGACGGAAAGGGCGGGGTTTTCTCGTATTTGGCAGATCTTAATTCCCTGGCCCAATCGACTGCTATTTCTAGGCCGGGGATAGAATAGGAGAGTCCGCTTGTGGGCCAAGGCGAACTTGCGGGAGCCAAAGCCCGTGAGGTTGTAGTCAAAGTTCTAGCATAATATAGTCCTGGTTTAGAGAAATAGATGGAGAGAATATCATGCCGTCAATTACGCATATATTTTAAGCTCGACGAGAAACCTTTTTTCCCTGGCTCAAGTAAGTCGACTTATGGACAGGTAAGTTTTATCAAGGTTGTGATGAAGGTGACGCAAGACGTGATTGTCTCAAAATCGTTACCGGTCCACGGAATCGTTGTAAAGCAGATTTAATTGTCTGGATGTATCTTCAAAGTTTTGTCTCACCAGTCCATTCCCCAACCGACCTCTCTCAAGATCTCTTTGGAGACCATAGTCAGGACATGAGTTCATCACCAAAAACTTGGCGTCAATTTTCTTCATTCTCCACCATCTACCTCCACGCTCACACGTAGTGGCGTGATCTATTTCTTCTTCTGGCCAGCAACGACAGTGATCTCCTTGGGGAGCTCGGCCACGTAGGGCAGGAACTCGGGCTGACCGGGGATGTACTTGCGCAACACTTCGGGGACCTTGAAGCCATCGGGCGTCTGGTAGTTCTCCATGATGCAGCAGAGGGTTCTCTCGGTAGCGCAGAGGGTCTTTATTGTGGTCAGTATGAGCGACACATACGCAACACCAAAAGTGGCATCAGAGGAGATAACTTACAGCGTTGAGAGCGTGGACGTACTCCTTGCGGCCACCACCGGGCGCCTTTGTGGGGCAAAATGTCAGCAAATTTCCTGTTTAGGAGAACTACCATAGCTTCTTTGATGGGACTCACCTCCTTGGCCTTCTTGACACCGTAACGGACCTCGAGCTCGCGGGTCTGGTAATCCGTGCCTGTCATCCATGTTAGCATTGCTGAACCATAGTGTGCGTAGGAATTTGATCTTACAGTTGGAGCAAGACACAAGCTCCTTGTACTCCTGCTGGAAGGGGAACCAAGCCTCCAAATCGTACTTCTTAGCGGCGGCGTTGTTCCTGATTATGTCAGTATTCCTCCATAGTTGACAATATCTAAAGGGTTGCTTACAGAGCACCAGAGACGATGGAAACAACCCTGTAATTATAAGTCAGCTTTCAAGCCCCAAAACTCTGGTTTGATGTAGCCTACCGGTAGGGAAGACCCAGGCTCTTGTAGAACTCCTCAGAAGCGGCAATCATCTCGTCAAAGTGCTTCCAGCTGTCTTCGGGCTTGCAGAAGATGAACTGCTCAATCTTCTCGAACTGGTGCACACGGAACAGGCCCCAGGCCTCCTTGCCGCTATACAGGTATATCATGTTAGTCAAAGTCTACAGAGGGGGGTAAGAGCGTCATTTCGAACGTACTGCTTGCCGGCCTCCTTGCGGAAACATGTGCTGTAACCGGCGTACTTGATGGGCAGCTGACCGCCCTGGATCCACTCCTCGCTGTGAAGTGCGGAGAGGGGCTGCTCACTGGTAGCAATGAGATACTTCTCTTCACCATCACCCGTAACCTTGTACCTGGAGAATCTGTCAGAACACTAAATAGTGAATTTCGGATTGGGGGGTCCGCCCTACAGCTCCTCGTCGAAATCCTCAAGCTGGGCGGTCTTGGCCATCTGGTTGCGGTTCATAAAGAAGGGAGGCTGGTTGGGAGTGTATCCCTTGTTGAAGAGGAACTCAAGACCGTAGTTGATGAGCGCCTGGTTCCTGTTCGCGGGGGTCAGCTTCCCTATCGCTACCGCAAGCCTCACCCTTTCTTCTCCTCTGGCCAAGAACGTACAGGAACAGTCCGTAGCCGGTCAAGCAGTATCCTCTGTGACCGACAAGCTTGATAGCGCGCTCAGGGTCGTAGCCTGCAAGTCTGGTAACAATCTGGTGGTGGCTAAGCGTCTGCTCAGTCTTGGCACCGAGTCCGGCCTCGGGCTTCCATTCGCGCTCCGTGACGTTGTTGTCTTCGTTGTCGCTGATGGGAACGGACTCATGAACGTAGTTTCCGATGCTCTTGGCCTTGGCGTTGAGCGTGACGAGCTTAGCTGTCGCCTCATCCTCCTTGTCCTTCTTCTGCTTCTGGAGATCCTCCTTCTTCTTGAGCAGGTCGTCGGCGTTCTCCTTGTTCTTCTTCTTCATACCAATCTCCTTCTGCACAGCGTTGATCTCGCTTCCGATCTGCGTCGCAGAGTATTGGGTCTTGCGGTGGTCTATTCGGCTCCGGAGAGGTTCGTGTTAGCCCACATTTGTCCTTCCTACGATGTGCGCGCAGCTATGGGCATAAGGCCTGGTTGGATTGGGAATTCGTACCATCCCACAGAGCGATAACCTCGTCGACAATCTCGACGGGTGCATGGCGACGGCGCTGGGAGTCGCGGATCTTCTCAGGGTCACCACCGCGCTCCTTGATGAAATCTTGGAGGTCGAGCATGATTGTAGCTTTTGGTGGGGGTAGAAGGGAGGTTGGCGGGGCGGACTATAGTAAAGTGTACTCGTTAAAAAGGCAATCCACACACGCGTTCCGAGAAGAGTACAGCTTACACGTTCCTTGGGACTGCGGATGGTTTGCAGCTACGTCGGCGTGACTCTCTCGAGGTGACTCAGGAGCGACTTTGGAGGGTGGTAAATTGTCGTTGCTGGATGGTGGTGGGGTTCTTTGGCGGGGGCGGGGCTGAGGCGGTCAAACGCAAGGGGTCTTTCGCGCCTGCCTTTACCGTTACCTCGACCTACCTACGCGCTCATGCGACACATTCAATCACTCAATGTACAGCCACCAGGGGAAGACAAGATGCGTCAAATGCAACCCAATTTTAGTGCAATTGTGACCCAGTCATATTGCATACCGTGGTGAAGCGCAAGATGTTCTCCTTTGCCTTCCAGAGCGCTAGCTATTGTACAGTTCTGCCGTGAATACCTTGAAGAAACGAACCCCCAGACCCTTTTATTCCCCGCCCTCGAGATCATTTTCGCCAATGTCCAATGTTACATGATCGCTAGGTATTCAGGCCTGAGTGGCCTCCTCGACCTTGGTCTTTTTCGATGAGTCATCTTCCTCCGCAGGCTCTTCGGCCTTGCGCTTCGTGCCATTGGATTCTGCACCGTTTGCCTGGGTTTCTTCGGGCTTGGGCTCCTCCTTGGCCTTCTTGCGTACAAGGCCAGTAAGATCGGTAGCAGTCTTCTTGGCTTCCTCGACGCGAGCTTGTGTTTGAGCCGCAGATTCACCAATAGCCGCTCCAAGAATTCCGCCCAAGCCTTCACCACCGAGAGCAGCGTTGACGTCGATTGGTGGCTTACGAAGTTCCACGAGCTGTGCATGGTTAGCAAAGGTACCGTCGAGGACAAAGTATGGTTACTCACGCGCTGCTCCATATCCACAATCATGTCCTTGACGTCGGTAATCGTAGCTCGGGTGACCTCATTGTCTTCCGGAGATGCCATGGTCGCGAGTTCAACTTCCTTGTTCTGGAGCTTGAGCTTGGTGCTGTTGATGGCTGCTTCCAGCTCATTTGCGGCCTCCTCGCGAAGCTTCTCGTCGAAAGGCTTGCTCTCTCCTTGCTCACCCTCTTCATGAGTGGTTGTTACGGATGAGAACTCAAGCGCCAACGAAAGCTTGAAGTGCGCCTCGGCAATAACTTCCGAATCCTCGCTGTACAGCTCCTTCTTGTACTTCAAAGACTTGCGCGAGTCCTCAATGGCGTCGGGGTATCTAATTTCTGTTAATGCCGGAAGCCTTAGTGCAGGGTACCTCGGCAGGTGCTTACCTCTCATTCTCTAGGGAAATCTCGGCAAGAAGATCATGGGTATCCGCAAGGCGCTCCTTGACATGTTTGATGCTGAGCTTCTCGCCATCGACTTGCTCTTGTGCTTTGCCATTAGGCTCCACCTTCTCCAACTCTTCCAGCTGTCTGCTGTAGAGAATGCGAGCCATGTCGAGCACGCCGAACGCAACAGCGAGATCGTCATCTTCCTCCTCTTCTTCTTCGTCACCCTCGGCCTAATAACAGGTTAGCTCCAATTGACAGTCGTCGACGAATCTGGATCGCAAGTCTTCAATCAACTCATTGATGAAAGAGCGAGACTTGTTCAGCCCGAGACCAAAGGAGCGGAATCTAGCTTACCTCCTCCTCATCCGAGTCGTCCTCAAAGTTTTCGTCGCCAGTGAATTGGAACAAGGGCTTCTTCTCCTCGACAGTCTCCTCGGGCTTCGCTCCGCTCGTCTCACTTGCAACAATCGCAACACCCTCCTCAGTTATTCTCTGCGCCTCGGTTTCGGCTGGCGCCTTGGTCGACATGGGCTCGGCAGTGGTCTTCTTCGGGACCTTGGACTTGGGTTTGGCCGCCTTCTTCTCACCAGCGGCCTTGCCCCCGAGGACGTCGCTCTTGCTCTGGCCAACCTTGAACACACTGCGACCGTAGAGGAAGAGAATCTCAGCATTCGCAGGTTGCATTTCGCCATTGATCTCATCTTGCAGCTCCGCAGCCTTCGTAAAGCAGTCGGTAGCTTCCTCGTACTGCTTCTTTGCGTACAGAGCGGTTCCCTTGGCAGTCAGGTCGGCGAGGGTGACCTTCTTGGAGTTGACGTCCTCCTCAGACTCTTCACCGATCGTGGCTGGCGTGTCCTGTTGTGTCGGCGCGGGCGCATCCTGCTTGATCTCTGGATTTGCGACAGCCTCCACAGCTGGGGCCTCGGCGACGGGGGCCACTGCGACAGGGGCCTCTGCGATAGGGACCTCTGCGGCGATCGTAGGCTGTTCGGGTGCGTCGGCCATTGTGGGAATTGGGTTGATGTTGCTGATTGATAATTGGAAGGATGAAATAGCAGAAAGATTTGTGGACGATGGGAAACAGGATGAACGAGGTAAGAAAGGCAATTGCGAAAAGAGAATTGGCAGCCTTTGTCAGTCTGTGGTGTGACGCGCGAGCTCTGGGGAAGGCGCGTTGATTGGGGAACGAAGCTGCAGGGATAGCTTCCGCTCGGCACGTAAAACGAGTTAAACCCAATCAAAATGGCGGGTGCGTGCTGGGCTTCTTCACTGTGCTTTGCACTGTAGGTTGCATCAATCCCATGGATCAATTCCGGGATAGGCCAGCAGGGTGTCGCTGCCAATGCCTTGATTACATGTTTGCCTTGGCAATCGCCGTACGCCTAAATGGCATTCCCCTTTCCTTTCTCCTCTCAACAATGCCCAGTCTCTGACTTGAACCGCAAACATCTGGTTGGAGAAGGAACTACAGCTGCATGTTTGCTGAAGGCGTGCGACTTGGCTGTCCTCTCAAGTGAGCTGACGAGCCTTTGAAGAGGCTCTGCCAGATGAAAGCCTCGCTCAGTAACAGCTCAATGTCCTTCTCCGTCCAAGATTTTGTTGGTAAGCTTTGCAAAAACATCATTATTTCCTGAAAATCCATCTTGACAAGCTTGTCTGACCACTTGACCAGGAAAGCCGCGCACACGTATAAATGAAACTCCGAAAAGCCTTGTTCTTCGGCCTATAGGTGGTTAGATGGTGCCAGTAATCAGACGTTGATGGAATATTCTCACCAAGTACGTGTCCCACATCCTGATCGTATTCCTTACACTTATCTCTCTCATCAAGAGACAGTTCATCCATCGAAAGCTGAATTGAATGAACTCGACGTGCTCCTTTTCGAGGTGCTTCGCCAGCCCTGCATCAATCCTTGCGGTGAGATCGCGGAGGGCCGCAACCTGCCTCTGAATGCCTGGCTGGGCCACAATGTAGTGGTCTTGTATACCGTCTAGCAGCTTTGTCAAGCACCAGAATGAATCTGCTTCTACAGCGTCAAGAACCGATTTTGGCAGCTGACCAGGGTCCATGCCCGATTCAATATCGGAGTCTGCGACGTATGTGCTCAAGAAAACCTGCCAAAACGGCGTTACCAAGTCATTGATGCCCTGGACGTAGCCGCTGGCAGGGTGTCGCACTGCCCATAAGTACAGGATTCGTTCCAGAGATCTCTGCGTCGCTTCGTACGAGTAAAGTTCGATGTGAGGGTTCGTTCTTGGAACGTCGATACTGATTTGATGCCAAATTGCCTCGTCTAAACCTCTGGCTTTTCCGGGTGCCGCTGGGGTGGTGCCACCTCCCCCACTACTGCTGCCGCGTTCGAAAGCCTGCCTAACGCCATCGAGATACTCTTTACGTTTTCTTTCTAGAGTTGCGACTCTCCTCTCGCTGTTGGTCGGTAGGTAGCTCAACAGGAGTTGCCATGTCATAGCACGAACCTCCTGGGGAACGCCGGACCAAGCTAGTTGCCGAAGTTCCTGTAGCGGTATTGTTGAGGCCTGTAGGAGCTTCTTGAACTTGTTGATACGAGTAATTCGTGAATTCGCAGCATCAATCTCTTTTGGTGTTGCATCGTCGGGTATGACTGGGTGATCGATTAGGTGCAGCGCGTTCGCCGGGTCTGTCGCAGTCAGCACGGTCCATTCCAACATCACGCGACACCACTTACCCCTCAAAATTTCTTTATACTGTGGACGCAAGATTTTGCCCTCGCTCTTCTTCGGCATGGGATAGGTTGGCGCAGGTCTTTCGATCGCAATGTCCGCACTATTCGAGTATCTCCTCGTGTGTAACCCTAAACCGAACGAGTCGTTCAAGGGCGACAGACCTCCGTTGGGATCTGACCTATTTTGCGCGGCTTTCTTGCGTGTTCGTCGCTTCAAGTTAGACAGGCTTGGCAGGCCGAAGTCGTCACCATCATCGTCCTCGTACCCCATCATGTCCTCCTCATCCTCGTCGGCTTTCCAGTCATCGTTGGTGTTGGAAAGGAAATTGATATAACTTTTAATCGGAGGGGACGACAGGCCCGACTGTGGGCGCGAGGGGGGAGAGGCATCGCTAGGCCGGCCTTTGGTAGAGTGTGAGGAAGGAGGCGTCTTCGGTCTGGAGGAGGTGCTGGACAAGTTGCTGGCTCAAGTTAGCTGAGGGTGTCGGCGCGACTCCAAGATGGGAAGAGTCCGCACAGTGAATCGAATTTGAGAATATCGGCATGAGAGTAGGCTGCTCCGACAACCAGGTTCGGGTCGCGACCGGTTCTTTTCGATGCGTTCTCGCGTGGGGGCGGCTTCCAAAATGGCGATGCAGAACTACCCCAAGTCAGTTCCAAACTGCGTCGGCGATGCAGCCAAGGCAACGTACTCTGAGCGGTCTGCGCCGTCAACGAAATATCAACGTTAGCCAGGAATTTCCGAGTTTAGTCTCAAGAGCCGAGGCTATGCAGCAACGGGCAGCTCGAGTTCAAGAGGTATGACGAAACCCACCGACTTGGACCATCTCCTGCTGCGGGGCAATTAGCATGCGATGACAGGCCCGGGCAGGGGTTTGGGGGAGCATACCTGTTGCGAGGGCTTCTTCCCACTCCCTGAAGAGGAGAACATGGTGATACTTCTCTATTGAGACCGTGTCATTGTGTGTCTTGGTGTTGAGATGCGCCAGACGAGTCGCCTGAGCTCCGAACAAGTGACCAGTGGCCGGACCCTTGCCTCACATTAGTGTACCGCACGCCGCTTTGAGCAGCAGTTGAAGTGGAGTGGGGGGAGGAGGTCACTGTGGCTGAAGGATGCGGTTTCAACTGCGTCGTTGTGGCGGCCGAGGTGCAAGTCTAAATGGTAGCGCAGATGCTTCTTCCACCCTATATTGATGAGGCGGGAAGGAATCTGGGGAAGTCTAAGTAAACCGCAAGAAACTACTCCCTAAGAAGATGATTCTTGCAAGGGATGTATTCACTTATTGCGAATGGTAGAACGAACATTGCGGTACCTTGCATGAACGGTCTAACTGTACGGATGCGGTTACCAAACTCTCCTCATCTCATTACATGCCGCAGCAAGCCAGTCTTGCTACCCAGTCACGTGACTCTTCCCACTCAGGTACGGGACCCAACACATCGCAGGTCCGTACTCCGTATGGCAGAGCGCGCGCGAGCTTTGCCGATGCTTGGACCTTTCTGTCTTTCCCCCAGTCTTTGTAGCTCTGATTGGATTGAGCACGCCCATTGGCTCCGCCACAGTCTTAGCTCCACCTTCCTCCTCTTTCACTCAGGCTCTTGCCTAAGAAATATCCAAACAAGCGCTGTTGCGTACACGGCGACCTTGTCCCATCAACTTCTCCGCAACAACACAACACGTTCTTTACTCTCCATTTCCTTTCGCCTTCGCCTGCATCGACTCGCCGATTCAAGTATCCTCGACACTGACTGAGCACTCGTCAGGATGACCGAGCCCGAGAATTTCGAGGAAGACCTCTTCGCCGATCTGTGAGTAATTACAAGTGTCGTCTGTCACCGTGAAAGACATGCTGATACGTGTTACAGCTACGATGATGACACCCCAGCGAAGCCAGCTGCCGCCCAGCAACCCGCGCCGCCTCCTGCCCCAGTCGCCGTTCCTCAACCAAGCGTCGAGACACATGCCGAACCACCTCCCCAGTCTGAGCCGGAATATGGTGGCGGTGGTGGTGATGATCAAATGAAGTACGAAGAAGAGGATGACGATGATGAAGTAGACTTCAACCTAGGTGGTGATGGCGGCGGCGGCGGCGGCGGTGGTGGTGGAAGCACTGGTTATGCGCCGCCCTCGAATGGGTCTGCTGGCAACAAGCAAGAAGAATCCACGTACTCGACAAGCACGGCCAAGAACCCGAGTGCCAAGGAAGACGGGTAAGTTTTGTTTGCCAACTACGTGATTTTTGCACTTGCTACACAAACCCTTCCCCATGCACCCATAGTTGGGACGCATACCTCGACTGGATTAATCTGAAGCACTTTTGCTGCGGTTTGAGGGAACTCGGGCATCAGTTGCCCCATGGTTACTCGTATTGGGCCTTCTTGGTCTTGGGAACTTGGATGGACAAGAGAGGGCATCAATACAAGACGTTGGCCAGCCACGTTTTGGGAATCATTCTTCAGGGCCATCAAGCAGGTCAAGGAAAACTTCAGAGAAGACAAGAGAAGCTTGAAGAAAAGCAAGAAAGAGAAGCCATAAAGAGGTACCGCGCAAAAAGTCAGCTGGAAAAGCAGCCTGAGATCACCGAGATATGCCGACGATAGTCAGTCATCAGTCAGTCAAATCAGGAGCACCCTCGTGCACCTTCTATAGCCCAGTCGCAGAGAGAACATCCTGCGGTCTTTGGCTGCTGTAGCAAGATTAGCAGCGGATAGCGCTCGAAGCTAGAGCTAGCAGAGACTTGACGATAGCAAAAGACACGAAAAATTCGACAATGACCAGGCTATCCGCTCCGCAATTCTCCCCAGTCGTGAGAGAGTTTTTGTGGCTGGCTAGCGCTGCTTGGCCTCAACAATCATTTTGGCTGCGGCTGGAACCTGAAACCCTCGGCCTTTTCACAAAGGCACCGATGCTGATGGAAACCAACCCATGCACGTCACTTCTATGATGATTCAAGAACAACGGATTGCTGTCTGAATCTGCCGCTGGCTGCGAGGAGGTACCCGTCAAGGAGCATATTATGACAGACATCGATCAAAATACCAATACACCAACGCCAAGAAATGCGATCTCAGGCTGTTACAAGCCTCTCAGCCTGTATTTACCAGAGGGGGAAAGGGCGAAGGTGGCAAGCCTATCGATGGGCGACAGACGACTCGGCCAACTCATGGTCTCAAGGATGACTGCTCTGTTATAGCCATACGGCGGGAACTCTCATTGGCCATTGGTCCTTGTCTCGATGTCCGGATAATACTTCCATTGCCCAGAACACGATCATAGTCGCATGCATTTCTTTTTCAGAGTTCTGAATCTTGAGTCGATTCATTGACTAATGTTTTCATGTCTGTAGCAAGATGTTTATTGGTGGCCTTAATTGGGAGACGACTGATCGTAAGTCTACGTTGTGTCCGCTTCTATAGCGCCATTTTCTAATAGCTGCCAGAATCCCTAAGGGACTACTTCTCTCAATTCGGCGAGGTTGTTGAGTGCACCGTCATGAGAGACAGCAGCACCGGACGATCAAGAGGCTTTGGCTTCCTGACATTCAGGGACGCCAAGACAGTGAACATCGTTATGGTCAAGGAACACTTTTTGGATGGCAAGATCGTGAGATTCTCCTAAGCCGATTGCATTTCGAACTGAACACTAATGGCAACCAGATTGACCCCAAGCGAGCAATTCCTCGCGACGAGCAAGAAAAGACTAGCAAGATCTTCGTCGGTGGTGTCAGTCAAGATACGACCGATCAAGAGTTCAAGGACTATTTCGCCCAGTTCGGCCGTGTAGTCGACGCGACCCTAATGATGGACAAGGACACCGGCCGCCCTCGCGGTTTCGGCTTCGTCACGTTTGAAAGCGAGGCCGGCGTTGATGCCTGCCTCAGCACCAGTCTGGAGATTCACGGCAAGCCGATTGAGGTCAAGAAGGCTCAGCCGCGTGGCAATCTTCGCGAAGAAGAAGAAGCCGCACGGCGGGGCGGAAAGTTCAGGAAGGGCGAAGACGGTGCCCAGGGTGGACAAGGCGGGATGGGAGGCGGCCAGATGGGTGCTGCAGGGGGCATGACGCCCCAAGTTATGGCACAATACTTCCAGCGCATGCAGCAGTATTTCGCTATGATGCAGCAACAAATGGCTATGAGTAGAGGCATGGGCCCTATGAACCCGGCCATGATGCAGCAGATGATGCAAATGCAGCAGATGCAGCAGATGCAGAACCAAATGATGGGCCGCGGTGGAGGCGGCAACGGTCAGCAAGGCATGATGGGCCAGATGACGCCTCAAATGATGCAGCAGATGCAGCAAATGCAACAGCAGATGCAGCAGCAGATGGGCCAGCAGGGCGGTCCCCCGTCTGGACCCAGCGGCAGCTTCAGCCCTCAGCAGCAAATGTTCGACCCATCTCAGGGAGGCCAGCCGCCACAGCAGCCCGGCGGTGGACAAGGACCACGTCGGGGAGGCAGCAGCGGCGGCGGAGGTGCTCCCCGCGACCAGTACAACCAGGCTGGCGCATATGCCATGGGCGGCGGTGGCGGTGCTCCGACATCGTGGGAGGGCATGTACGACGACGTTCCCCAACCGAACCAGGCCGGCCGGGGAGGCTTCAGAGGCGGCCATCGTGGTGGCTCTCACAGTGGTGGCTCCCATCAGGGATCACCCGATCCTGCGCATGCCCCGCCTGCCAACGCGCCTACAGGGCCCAAGAACGCGGGCAGACCCGGCGCTAACTATCGCGGTGGTGGACGTAGCAGCAACCGGGGATTCCATCCTTACTCGCGTTAGGAGTCTTTGCGGTAGCCAAAGATGGCCTCTCTGGCATCGGAGACGGAATCATAGGGGCGGATCGATCTCAAGGCGCCGTATCTCGTCGGCTAAAAGAGAGCTATACAAGTTTGACGGTTCGATGAAAGAGGGCGCTGGGAAGAAACTGCATATATGGAACGAGGTACCGCGTTTTCTCTGAGACGAAGAGGAACTGGGACCGGAACCGGGGTACGGCTTGGGTTCGGCAGCTTTGCTTATTGCTCTTGCGAACTTTTATCTTCTTCTTTCCTTTACAGATCGTTTTTCCTGGGAAGTTTGTATTATACTCCAAAAAGGGAGGGGGAAAATCAACCATTAATCGGCCGTCTTCGTGTGTTCTTTTCATTTACGTGAACTTTGTGGGAGTATCAACTTCATGTCATGACGTGAAAATAGATTGCTAGGGGTTGCACGTTCCGTGAAGCATCGCGAGAAGCAGGGCAAACGGGCAATATGTCATTCTTTAAGAGTCTGGGTGAGGAAAGTCTTGCCCCGGCTTGACCTTCCGAACCGGGCCCGAAGCCGAAGTTGAACATGCCCACCTTTCGGGCGGCGAGCCGAGAGCTTTAAATTGAGTAAACATAGGTGAAGTGAACATGATAAGATGAGGATGATAAGATTATAATCCCAGCCCCATGCTCAATCCAGCTCAGGCTCCTATGTTAAGTGCATTACTTCAAACCTTTTTAATGAAAGTTGTTTCTTGTGCCTGTTGTTCAATAACTTTGCTGCTACCCCACATTCGATCTGCGATATATCCACTTGTTGACGGGACTGAAGAAGTACCGGACCTTGCTCAAAGGCCGGCGGGCGTCTACAAGACTGAATAGGCTGACGGTATTCAAAGTAGCCGCCCGCGGAAAGCGCATTTTGGGAGAGTTAACCAAAGACCGAAGATATGTCAGCGTGCAATTCAACATCTGCAGCGTTGTGAGATGTCCAGTTCCCCAGAACGCCGGACAACGACCGAGACTTCTCCATATCAAGTCTGATACCCCTCGCTGCTGTCGCACGGTTTCCGACTCGGTCATACCGGGGGATAATCTACTTAATTGCCAAAACCCCACGTACGATGGCAATGGATAGGCTAAGATAGGAAACCAAGAACCGAACAGGGCGCGCGCAGGAGTGAGAGAGAGGAAAAAATCGAAACATGACAAGTCTTAACCCCCAAACTGTCTAACTAAGCAACGCATGTGATTTCTAATCAACCCCCTCTGTTCCTCTACCCCTC